TCGCTCAGGCTGAATCAGTCCGACAGGAAAACAGATCGATCAATCCGACTCATAAATGAACGTGTTCCATCCTCCAATCGTGGACAGATTCATTACAAATATCTGACTCAAAAGAACGATTCGTTCACGAATCGGACATCGCTATTCATCACTCATTCCCCTTGTTCCTGAAGCTACGGCGGCGATATTTAACAAGACGGCGGCTGCTTCATTCCCGTTTTTAGCCAAAATTGGGGTGGCGATCAATGAATGCATGCAAGAGAATACCACTTAATCGCGTGCATAGTGAAAGCCATTATCGGTAACCCTTAAAGTCGTGTTTAAAGTTCATTCCTGAGTGGATCTATCAATTGCATGAGACGCTGCATATGCATATATATATATATATATATATATATATCACCGTACATGTGTACAAATGCAGCCTCAAAGCAAACCCGAAGCTGAGATGCTGCTGTGCAGAAATCCATGAGGAAAAAAAAACTGCGTGACCAACTCCAAATACCAACTCGTATCTACATAACAGCACAATTCAGCAACCACACATGTTAATAAGACCATAAACAGACATACAGCAGCGATCGGAGGGTTCATTCACAGATATAAAGAGGGTTTTCCAACGATCTGCTCTATGTTATTTGGATGTCTTGCGTACAAGCTATGAATAATTCATCACACAAACTGTTGTCTTGACACTGAGCTGTGCTGCATGACAGACCAAAGCCAGATCTCATAGAGCCGGATACTTTATCGCATAGACGTATAAAATCAATACAAGAATATATAGATAAATAAACGCACAGTTTTTGCAAATGAGTCGAGGAACCAGAGCGATAGCTGGGCAGAACTCGCTCAGATAGGAATCACCACCGGCACGACAAACAACAGTGGGCAAGACCAGCGCGAGCGACGAGGCGTAAAAGGAGCTAGTGTCATTTTGTATTTACCTGTCAATATTCCAACTCGGATTTGGTGGTCGTGGTTGGTTAAAATCATCCCGTCCGACGCCATGTTCAGCAGCGCTCTCGCCCGCACTGACAAGCCTGAGCAGAGCCGAGAGACGAGCGTATCGAACTCGGGGGGAGGAGTCAGGCGAGAGCAGCCGAACTGTGACCACAACACTGGAGATTTGGCTAGGGTTGGGGATCATGTTAAGAGTGCAAGAATATACAGTTTATTCGCAAAAAAAATTTTTTTCTAAACGTAAGAGAAATGACAGTCACTACAAAGTTTATGAAGGGTTTATGCACTACAACAAGTGTTCTCTTCCATGATTGTGACTGTAAAAAGTGGACAAAAATGTATAATATTATAATAAATTTTATAATATTATAATAAGGTTTCACCTGTTAACATTAGTTAACTAAATTAGTTAACAAACTAACAATGAACTACTTCTATAGCATTCATTAATCTTAGTTGATATAAATTTTTCAAAAGTCATATAATAAATGCAACATGAACAATGAATACATAATTTTTTTAAATAATTTTACCAGTAAATGCTATTAAAATATATTTTTCAGATTTAGTACATGTTAACTAATGCATTAACTAATGTTAACACATGAGAGAAGTGTTAACATTTAAATTCCAATTAGTAAATATTTATAATGTTTATTTTGTAAAGTAGTTTGAATATAATTACTAGTTTGAATGCTTATTATTGTTGTCCTTATCCTTTATGCATTTAACAATACTATTTGACAAAAAAGTAATAGCCTTGGAAGTTTTAAACCTGTGTTTCGTATGTTCATATTAATATTTTACAAAAATGATTTGTATAATGAGAATGATTTGTTAATGTGAATGCTTTGGGTGCTTTTTGTATGGGTTCACAGTAAAAAGCACTATTACCTGTCTTCTACTTGTCATTTCATACATTTAGTTTGTTTGAGCTTGAAGGGGCGATTTAAGGAGTATTCCAACAATATGTCAGGTGCAAAGATTTAGAACAAAGGAATCCATTTTTTTGTGGCCTTTAGCATTTGAAAGTTTCAGTAATAGCTCACATATGTCACCATGTGTCTCCTGTTTAGCCCACCTACTAATTTAGGAATATGAATATATCACAGACATATTCAGTGCTATTGCAAATGGTTAAAGAAAAAGTCAAGGTAAAAAGTAGATTTTAGTAATATGTATTAACATTATATCACTTAATAAAATTCATTATTATGTTGTCACAATATTTTTTATGGTGAATTTCTTGCAACCAGCTGCCAGTTTTTTTACTGTAAATTTAACAGGATATTTTTTAGTGTAAAGTTTTCCCCCAAATTCACAAAAAACAACTCCCCCTTGTCACGCCCATGGACTGTTTTGGTGTTTGTTTTCCTCCCCCACGTGTTCCATGTTCCCTCCTGTGACCTAGTTTTTCCCTCATGTTGATTATGTTTATTGAGGTCAGGTGTGTCTTGTTAATTCCCTCGTTTAGTTCTAGTATTTAGCCCTGTGTTTTCATGAGTCCTGCGTCCTGTTTTAATCGTCAATCCCTGTTGTACTACTTGTGTGTTCCTGCCTGCCCTGTACTCCTCGTTCATGGATCATTAAAGACAGTGTTTGTGAATTCTCCTACGTCTCCTCGTTCCTAGTTCCTCGCATTAGTGCAACTGTGACAGAAGACAGGACCGAACAGTAAGCAGCGCCCCTTCTCCTCGTTTTTTGTTTCCTGTTTTGAAAGTGTTTTGTTTTCTGTTTTCCCCCCCGCGATCATGGAAACTGCCGTGAGATTCACTGCCCTAGCCCGCAGAGATCTTCCCTTCGTGGAGTATGCCCGGGAATTCTGCAGGCTCGCCACGACAACGGCGTTAGACAACGCCACGTTGAACTCTCTGTTCTGGATCGGGGCAAATTACTACCGCCCCGTTGACCTCCCAGACACCACAGGGTTAAGCTGGAGGGAAGGGATCCTCTGGTGTCTGGAGAGCATCCGGCCCCGATCCAGAACCAGCCCGCCAGCCGCTCTGATGTCCAGCCCGCGGGCCGTCCCACAGTCAAGCCTGCAGGCCAATTCACTCCCAAGCCCTCGGCTGACAGCAGCAGTCTCCTTCACCTCTGCTTATAAAAGGAGAATGCAGAGGAAGCGACTGTAGGCTTCTCTCCTTCACCTCTGCTTATAATAAGAGAATGCGGAGGAAGAGACTGTGGGCTCCAGCCCCTGAGTCCGCTCCTGAAAGGGCTCCAGTTCCCATGTCCAGCCCAAGGAGGGCTCCAGTCCCCAAGTCAAGCCCAGAGAGGGCTCCTGTTACCACGTCAAGCCCAGGGAGGGCCACAGTTCCCGAGTCAAGCCCAGGGAGGGCCGCTGCTCCTACGTCAGGCCCACGGAGGGCCTCAGGGACCGATAATTTTCCCAAGGATTTTTTTTTTTGGGGGGGATTTATAAGGATCCAGCCGTAGAGGCCGGGCCGAGTGCCAAGGCCAGGCCCCCTGAGTTCCCTGCTCCGCCATGTGTCCTGGAACGGGTACCACCCTGGAGGTCGTCCGTCCCATGTAAGCCTATCCCTAGAGGCCCCCAGAGGCCCCTTCACTTTCACTGTAAGTGCAGAAAAAGAAGAGATGAGTCAAAATTATTTTTTTATGGTAATATATTTCACAAATGCTGTCGATTGTGCTTAACTTGTACTAAGTCTGGAATATTCCTTTAAGGGTTGATGTTTAGTGATGATATTATTGGAGTGTCAGTGCGGGACAGATCCAGGGGAGTTGGTACCTGTACCAGAAATTAATTACACACTTTATTGCATCATAGAATCACAAGCTTAGATCTGGCACTGAGGTGCAGAGCTCCAGTAGAAGCACTTCAGCTTTATTAACATGTGCACAAGAGCATTATGGGAAATACCAGTGAAGGCTGTGGGGAAGCTTGGGTCTTGTCCATTAATAGACATGAATGTTTGCTATGGTGTTATTAGAAGTAACCATTTTCTGCTGTTGCAAGGATCATCGAGAGATTTTCAGGCAAGCACAGCTAAATCTAGATCAGCGCTCACCACGTAACCCAATACAGGACGTCAGACTTTACTGGAGATGAGTGAAAAGTCAGCACGCCAGCACAGGCCTCCTAGGAGGACAACGGCTCTCTGCAGGTCATTATTTAAGCATTCTTAACTGGCAACAAGCTCAAGCCAACAAAATGAGCGGCTGTTTTCTGCTGGGAGAGCACAAAATAAAACCCAGCATAGAAATCGCAATCTGTCCTTACATCTTTAAAATATATAAATGAAATGCAAACACTATTGGCTGTAGGGGCTGGCACGCTCCCAAATGAATTGTGCTCCGTAGCATTCTGTGGTGAAAATGACGGAAATTACATTTGAACATTTTTGGAATTAAAAATTGTTCTTTTGTCTTTCTAGTTACTAATTCTCAGCAAGCTGTTTTTATCATATGCTAAAAAACACACAATTAACTAATATTTTCACACTTTTTGCAAAATTTCACAAATTACAGCTTGACTGGAAATTATACTTAGTATAAAAAAATTAAAATTAAAATCTGTGCACAAGTGATATTTACCTTGTTTTCTTTATACAGAACATGTCCCATATTTCATCTCAAGCTTTTCAATAGAAATGTATTAGGTACAGAATTGTTTGGTGTGGAGCAGGGTAATTATAACTAGAACTAGGTTATTATAACTAGAACCAAAACTGAAACTAAAATTTAAACCATGAAAAAATAATAATACTTAGGAAAATTTTTTTAATTTCAGCTAGTTGCCAAGGCAACATTTCTTGTTTCAATTTAGTTTAACTTGATGTACTAAGATAACAAAAAATAAAAATCCATGAAAACTATATAGACACACACACACATTGAGTTTCCATGTTTTATGCGAACATTCTATAGGTGAAATGTTTTTTATATTGTATAAACTATTTTCTATCCCCTTACTCTAACTCTTCACCTAAACTTACCCCTCACACAAAACATTCTGCTGTTTTAGATGTTCAAAAAACTTCATTCTGAATGATTTATAAGCTCGTTTCCTCATGGGGACCAAAAAATGTCCCCACAAGGTCAAAATGTACTGGTATTATTATTATACTTGGTGGGACATTTGGTCCCCGTAACGTAAGGAATACTAGGACCACACACACGCACATGACAAAAAAAATAAAAACAAAAGCAATAAACCTTTAACTAAAATTAAAATGAAAACAGTGGAGGAAATTGTGGTATAAATAATTTTCACACAATAAATATTAGAATGTTTTGTGTTTATTTCACATCTTTCTTTTTTTTTGGCGTTTTTGCATTTATAGGACAGTGTAGAGATGACAGGAAGCAAAGTGGGAGAGAGAGGGGAGCAAGACTGGGAAAGGTCCTCAAGCCGGGATTCAAATTCGGGACACCCGTAGCGTGCTGCCCTCAAGGCTAAACTGTCACCAACATTTCACATCATATTTTAAGCTTGTGATAATTTTCTGTATAATTTTCATTGTTAAAGATAGGAAGTCTGGGACAAGTACAATATAAAACAATAAATCTATATATAAAAGGCATTTAAAGTTAGCAAAAGTAATTTTGTTAGGGTAAAGAAGTTAGGGTAAAAAGTTTCCAAGGAAGTTATAATGTGACCTTTATTAAAAAAAAATGAATCTCTTACTTTATAATAAATGTTATTAAAAATCAAGTAGAAGCCAGAGAAGTGCAGAATATTTATCATTTGACAGATTTTACTCTATAGCTCTTACTCCATAACTCTCTGACAGTATTTTTCAGTGTCTATGCATGACCCTCCTCCGCTTTACTGAATGTGTGTGTATTGCAGGAACACAGGAAGGCCTCTCACTAGAACTGACATGAACATTTCCTGGTGTTGGCACTCTGTGAGGAAAGCCTTAGCATTCTTAGATGAGATGGCTCTCCAATTCACACATACTGTATGCAGACAGAATTTTAACCAACCTGAATTCCAAGTAGGCACTAGCCTGTGAACCCTCTTCTTAAAACCGCTCCGCTCGTCCGTACTCTCACCTCCCCCATCCTCTCAATCTCACTGTCTTCCTCACCAATGTATTTTCAGCATCCCCCTCTCTCTCTCTTGCATGAATTTCCTTGCTGGTCCAGGCTGGTTAGTGCTGGTTTAGCTGGTACAGCACCATAGCCATACTGTTCAACAGCTAAACCAGTAGATGAAGGACAAGTAGTGACATTTGAATTAAGAACCCTGGTGGAGACATCTGCATCCAAAACATAAAATATGCTTAGTCAGGGTAGTTGGGTGAATCTCATGAACAGGTGTCCAGGTTACATTATACCCTAAAGCAAAAAAATATTATTTAATTAACTTATTTGTTATATTTTCAAATTATATGTTATCATTTAAATCTTATGTAAATTCTATTTAAATTAGTTTTATTTATTTAGTTAGTTTTACATTACACCTCAGTTCTCATTACTGTAAAGCAAAATTGTCTAATTTTCTTTACTGTAACATTACAGTATATATATGTAATAAATAATTTAAATATATGTAAAACAATTTAATAAAAATAAGGCTGCATTTTCTTTGCAGTACAAAGAGTAATATTGTGAAATGTTATTACAATTTAAAATAACTATTTTTTATTTTAACATATTTTAAAATGTAATTTATTCCTGTGATGGCAAAGCTGAATTGTCAGCAGCCATTACTCCAGTCCTCACAGTCACATGATCCTTCATGAACTTTTGACCGGTACTGCATATACATTTTTGTGAGTTGTATATTATATGATACATTTGATAGATTTAAAGGGGTCATATGATGTAGCTAAAAAGAACATTATTTTGTAGACCAAACAAAGTAGTTTCGCTTTCACAACGAAACACACGGCAGGCTAGAGTGAGCGGCGGCCAGAGGGCTAGAGTGAGCGGAGGCCGGCAGCTAGAGTGAGCGGTGGCGGGCGGGCTTGTGGCAATCACATGTGACAGTTGTCCCCCCTAAAAATATGATTAAAAACCACACTGTGTATTGTAAATAACAATGTTTTATACTTTAAATAACTTTGTAAGTAGTAAAACAACAGAAACGCAAAAATGCGTTTTAAGTTTAGAAACATTTTGAGTCTCCCCCTCGCTTGCCTCACTGTGCTTTGGTCCAAATGCCTGTTTTCCTCTTTTACATCACCTACACACACACAAGTCCGGTGAGTGAGGAAAAAGTCAATAGTTGTGGAACTCGGCTGTCAAGGCTATTTTCTTTACTTAAACATCAGATGATTCTCTTTAATACAGATGATGCCAATGTATTTTTCGATGAGTCCGCTATTTTAGCAATAATAACGTGACTTGCCTGACGGAGAGTAATGTCTACAATGGACACGAGCGCTGTCACGGCGCGACCACAACAGCTTGAAGTTGTCTAATTTGTCTAGTTGTCTCCCTCCTACAATAAAAGTAGTAAGGCTTTCCTCTGTGTATACTTATCCTTACAAGTACAGTTTTAGCTGTATTATATGTGTCCCCTTCAAAAATTGCTCTTGAGAAATGTTGTTTATTGTCCCCCCCTACTTTAAGACGAAATTTACACTCCTGAATACAATAAGTATTTCTTGATCATGATAGCATTTGTTGTACTGCCTTTAAATTTGATTAAAATTAACAAAAAAATTAAAATAATGTAATAACAATCATCACTAATGTAATATAAAATGAAAGAGACCATACTAGATCCATTAGTAATAAGGTAAAATGTGTTAAAAAATATTGTCACAATTAAAAAAAAGGGGGGATGGGGGATTGGGGGAGGTCATAAAAACAAGGGTCATAATAATAGATTCAATTATTTTATCTTTCGGTTTTGGGTTTTTGACCTGGACATTTATTTACGGGTTTCATTCTAAAATGCAACAGTAATATCATCATCACTTTAATATACAGTCAAACTCAAACACAGCCTCCGCATAACCAGAGATGATGGACTGGATTGTGAAGGCTGGTTTAAGTGGGTTATTGGAGAGCACGTATATTACCCCAGTCCCAATTTCGAGCAGCACCGCTCATATATTCCGGGAGGTAAATGAGCAAGGCTGTGTGGTTACAGAGATTGAAATACATTCATTAACTTTTCCCTCTTTGCTAATATAAGCCTTTTAACGCCACGCATCCCTGAAATTTATATTTAAATTAAATTGACTGGGGGCCAGAATAGGAGGCACCCCAGACACGGCCCCTGTGGTGACTGTTATTTACCGTCCTCCTCTCCTCGTTGGTCAGTCTCCACTGCATGTCCCCCTCCCCAACACATCCTTCACTTTTTTCCCTATCCCATCTCTCCGTGATGGGAAGGATGCTGGCTTATGCCTTTAAGACAGGCTTTCAAAAATTCCTGTCAAGAACTTGAGAAGGCTGGAGCTGAGATATGTGTTCGCTGACAGCTCGTGAAAGAAAACTACATGTCTTGAAATGGAACGGATGACACTGTGACACAGAAATGCACATGTAGGGGTGAGCGGCTCGTTGGTGGGTTGTCGGGGGCAGGAGGGATCAACCCGAAAGGTCACATCTTCATTACTGTCACTCGCTCGCACACACACACCTACACAAGCTCTCCGGTCCACTTCGGCTAATTCCACAGGACAGAACTGAAGGTTAACTTCAATGAGAATCGATAACCCATTTATGCTAATGTCAGCGTAATGTGCGTTTCCAGCGGGTATGACCTAACCGAGTTTGCGCTCGAGTATCGCCCTGCCTCACCAAACAGCTCTAAGCAAGCATAATGCTCTCCAGATTCATTTTTCATCTTAGCGTGTTTTACGGTTTATTTGTAACTGGATTTTAGACGCATTACAGCCAGCGAGACAAACATCCATTGCTGGACATTGCACTGACCGCAAAAAAGAGAGCTTTAGGTTAATCAGAATTCATTTTGCCATTGATTTGTCTGAGCAGCGGAAGGTAAAGGGGGGAAGGGTTTTAGATGGAACCGGTGGCTGTCATCACACATCTTCACACTAACAATACACAATTTTCATATTGTAAACGCTCTAACACAATGATAGTAATTTTAATCAAGCGACAAAGACAATGCACGGTAACTCAATAACTACATCACCAGATCCCAGTGCAAATGCTCAGAAAAATGTCTTGCAATGCAATTCAATAGCAAAATTCCTTTTGAATTGAAGTGAATCTATATTTGTGACCCTGGACCACAAAACCAGTCTTAAGTCGCTTGGGTATATTTTTTGCAATAGGCAAAAATACATTATATGGGTCAAAATGATATTTTTCTTTTATGCCAAAAATCATTAAAGATCATGTTCCATGAAGATATTTTGTAAATTTCTTACCGTAAATATATCAAAACGTAATTTTTGATTAATATGCATTGCTAAGGACTTCATTAGGACAACTTTAAAGGCGATTTTCTCAGTATTTACAACAAACCTTACATCAATGGAAAGCTTATTTATTCAGCTTTCAGATGATGTATAAATCTCAATTTCAAAAAATGTGGTTTTGTGGTCCAGGGTCACATTTATGTTTCTTGAGTATTAAAAGTTGGTAGAAAACAAGGGCGTAATCACACTGAGTGGAAAATATCAAATGGTATTTTCTGATTCATAAATTTATCTGGTTTTAGCCCTATTCCAAATCTGGTTTTGCTTCAGTTTCTGCTTATTTTATTTTTTGTAGAGTATTTTAGGGCTGCCAAAGTTGATGTGTTAATAACTGGTATTAAATGTTTAACAGCGTTACATTTCTCAGCACAGTCTAGTGTTATTGTAGTTTACTTACTTGCATTGTATTGTTTAATGCAGACAGGTGGTAAAGTTTCGTTTAGAGTAATAAAAAAATCTGTTTAGTTTTTCTTAGTCATGTTAGTTTTTATTTATATTTTTTTATTTGTTTATGTCATTTAATTTCATTATGCTCAGATAATTCAATAGCACTTAATTTCAAAACTCATTTGAATCATACAGTGGGACATATTCAGATTAATGGTCGATCAATATGGCCTTTTCTGATTCATAAATGTTTCTGGGATAGGCCTACCACAATATTTCATATTGCAACCATTCACAACATAATTTTCATGGTTATTATAGTTTGAAAAAAAAAAAAGTTTTATTATTGTCAATTTGTCATTTC